TGTCTAGAATGCCGTCTCCCCTCCCTACTCCTTCCCCAGGCTAATTCCCTCTGATCCTTTTCAAATGCCTAGGGAATTTGATTAAAATATAGATTGTCATGTCCCAGCTATGGAAATTGATCAGTGGGTCTTGTGCAGGGCCCTCTACTGTACTTTTAAATTGTAGTAGTTAGTTTCCATGGTTGGATAACAAGCTTTTTGAACCATGGCTTTAAAGTACACAGATCTTAACACCTTTCTGGGAAGCCCTGGACCTCATCCCTTATGATCCATAAATCCCTATGCACATCTCTATCATTGTACGTTCCACATTGGATAGAAATATTATTACTCTAATGTCTACCTCCCTTACTAGACTGTGAACATCTTACAGACAGTGTTTTGCTCTTCTTTGTATATCCAGTGATGAGAACAATGTCCCAAATCAGCACAGTTTCCACTCCATAAAAGCTTAATGGTAACTAAATGGTACCCCAAAATGACAAACAGATGGTAGAATGAAAGGCAATTAATACTACTCTCCTTCCTCATTGGCTATATAATAGACAGAGTATTGTTACCTGTTGAGCAGAGCTCGATAAGCAGTAAAATACGGGATACCAATGGCAGCTCCTTGTTTAAAGTCCAGTTTTTCTGGTAGTGTGTAGACATTGTCATCTGCTACAACAGCATACTCTGCATAGCCCCCAGAGATCGTGTTGGTAGTGAAAACTCTCTCACCTTTCTGGAGAAAGCAATAAAGCAATATGTGTCAGGGATTAAAAATAATGTCAAAATAAGTATGATCCTTCATAATGCAAACTTTATAACAAGAAATAAGTATATATTGTTTTCTATATCTTAGGGGTCATAAAAATAACTTTAAAATACTGAACATTTAAAATTTTATTAATTGGAACCAGTAAGGAAAAAAAATTTTATTAATTGGAACCAGTAAGGAAAAAAAATTAAGAGAAATAGAAAGAATAAGAGGCAAGAAAACCTCCAGAATGGTAAAATGATAACTAACCTTTATTGAGTTTACTGTACGAAGCATTGTATTAAGTGTCTTATGTGTATTATTTAACTTGATTGTCACACAGTTTAAGAGGTAAGTAATTTTATTATCTCCACTTTAGATTAATCCCACTATGCAGCTAAAGAAACTGAGGCAAAAAAAAGTTCAGTAATTTGTTCAGATTGAGCAGTTAATAAATGGCAGTTAATAAAACTATTCTTTGCCGAAAATTCTAAGGAGAAACAAATATAAGGTTTCTTCCATACCCTAATTACCTGCTCTAAATCCTTTCCAGATTTCTTTACCCCTGTATTTCTCTCATTTTTCATGTACACATCAAAAAGTAGGAAATGATGGCTGGATCCTGACAGCAGAATGAGCCACCTGGACAGGCTTCTTCACTTGTCACAGGACCAGAAAAACAGCAAACTCTTAATAAATGTCCATGTGGCTCTTTCGATTAAAAAGCAGATGCATAACTAAGGGTGAGGTATGGCCTACGCAAGAATCATAAGAGAGCTCGATATGACCCCCACGCTAGAAAAATTAGATTGTCCACTACAAATGCCAGCTCCAACTTCTCTTAAAAAAAAAAAAAAAATGTAAATATTTCTTGGAATAAGCAAAACATTAAGGTCCTAACTCTCAGTATACTTAAATTTGTCCTATAATTAAGAGATCTGAAAAAATAACAGCATTATGTGGTAGAGTATAAACAAACAAGACTCAAAAAACATCTACGAGTAAAGAAAGCATCACTGCCTAATAGTGTCGCCTGCAAATGGTCAAATATGGCTATGTTAATTAATCCCATTTTTATAGCTTAAACACACGTTGCACTGATTTTAATATACTAATAATAAACATTTACTAAGAATCCACTATAGAGAAAGCATAACTTTTGAGTTCTGTGAAAGATTTAGTAGTGAGACACTCTTTAATCTCAAGCGTTTAAACTCTTGGATGATAGAGGAAAAAAAGATAGAAATAATTATAAAGCAAGGTAAACATGATGCGCCATCAAAGACAGGTACAAGAAAAAGAAAGGAATTATTTCTAAGGTGAAGGAAACAGAGTAAGTAGAGGAATAGTGGCAGAAAGCCGGCATTTATTTCCAATTAATAAGTAGTCTAATGTATGAGATGCAATAGTTTAGGGAGAAAAGGGAAAATAAATTAAAGCTAGACTGTAAAATCACTTGAATCCACGTTTATAACCTTCATTTTAATTCTGCCAAGCAGAAGAATATGAACAAAGACACAGAAATGAAAGAGCATTGCCTATGCAGGGAAGAACCAACAGTTATTACTAAAGAATAAACTATGAAGAGAGAAGGAATGGGAGATAAGAATGGAAAGATAGGTGGGGAAGAGAGCACAAAATAGTCTTTTTTTCATAACATAAGCAATTTCAACAATACCCTATCAGAAATCTATCAGATTTGAAATCTATCGGAATTGAATGCAAGAATTAATTGTTAAACAATCAGAATTACCTTTCAGAAAACACCCCTTATAGAGCAAGGGCAGATTCAAGGAGGTAGGATGGAGGGTAGTAAGGTTAGTTGTTTATAGAAATCCAGGTAAGGGCCTAGGTAAGATAACTTGAACTAAACTACAGGCAGTGGAAATGGAAAGAGGAGACAAAAAACAGTTCTAGTAAAGTAGAGCTCAGTGATGTCGCCAAGAGCCCAGAAGTCACCAAGACTGTCACACAAGGGAGGAGCAAACTTGATGTGAGAAAAGACAAGCTTAGTTTTTGACACACCGCATAAGAAGTTCTGGAGATTGGCCATGTGGGTCCCGTGCTCTAACATAACTTTCAGTGATGATGGAAGTGTTCTACCCCTGCACTGCCCAGTAGGACAGCCACTAGAAGCACGGGGCCAGTAAGCATTTCAAATGCTGCTACTATGACTGAGAAACTGAATTTTTATTTTAAGTTGAACTTGAATTTTAAATAGCCACTAGATATTTAAATGTGGCTAGTGGCTACCACATTGGACAGCGCAAGACCGGAGCTTAGTAGAAATTCTAAGCTGAAGTTATCCATGTGATAATGGACAAGATGGGAGTACCTGAGATCATCATGAAGAAGGTATAGAATACAAAAAGCAAAGGTGTCAGCAGGGACTGAGAGGGCTGAGCAACACCAAGATTGGAGGAGCATCCAGAGAAAAAGAGGCTTGAAAAAGGATGCCCAGAAAAGAAAGGGATGGGGTAGTAGGGGAGAAAATGATGTCACAGACAGTGCAGAAAAAGTTTTTTTTTAAGAAAAAGTAAGTGGCTGAGAGTGTCAAATGTCACAGAGAAGTCAAGAGAGATAATGACATAAAAGGGCCCATTAACTCCAGCAATATAGATGCCATTAGTGACATTAGCAAGAATCATTTCAGTGGAACGATGAGGGCAGAAGCCAGATTGCCACAGGCTGAGGAGTGGAAAGCTGTAGGAATTTGCCCGTCTTTCTGTGCAGGGGCCACATTAATCTTCTCTGTCTCAGTCCAATTTTGGTAAATGGGCAGCCAAAGTTGAACAGGTCAAAGAATTATGAGGAAAGATGCTAAAACATGAATATACTATCTATGTTTTATATGTCTTTTGGCATATAAATAACAGAAGCCCTGATCATAACATTTCCATTGACTTTATCACCTTGTTCTGAGTCACAGTTCAAAAAATGTATAGCGACCTTGCATTTTTTTGATCTTTTACTTATTATTCAAAAGAATTAGTATTCTCTTTACTCTGTGATGCTAAATTTATAGAAAGAATTAAAAATTATGTTGGCTTGTGTATTATCAAGAGTTAGGAAACAGTATAATTTTCTTGCTTGTTTTCTTTCTTCACATATTTCTTTTAAATCAAAAGGTTTACAGTTTAATTCTATGGGGATTTGAAGCTACAGAAATAACCCCACAATGCAAACAAGCAAGGCCTCTGGATAAAAGTAATTTCTTTTGTTACTAGAGGAGTCCCCCAAGTGGCAGAAACTGTGTAATGGGGCCTTTTAAAGACTTAAATACAGACACATTTAAAAATATATGTTAAAATACTTCAAGAAAAAAATTTAAAACTAAAATAGAAATAATTAAAAATGTAATACCTTAAAAGCAGTTACATTATCTCCAACAGCTTCTATTACCCCAGCCACATCTAAGCCAGGAGTATAGGGTAAGTGTGGTTTTCTACCATAAGTACCAGAGCGAAAATATGTGTCCACTGGGTTTACACCGCATGCATAGACTTTGATTAGAACCTGAAAAGACAGTGTATTAGTTTACACAGAGAATTTAGGCATCCATTCAGCATTATGCTAGGACTGTAATGATTATGAGAGCTATAAAAATGGAGAAAACCTTGCCTTCATTGAGCTCACATTTCAGTTTTGCAAACCAACATATAAATAAAAATATAAGACAGAATGGCTTATGTGCTATGTTAAAAATATTTTGAGAAAATAGTGGTGGGAATATTTGAGGGGGGGTGTGGCAGAGACCCCTATGTGCTCATCAAGTCTATTTTTTCCTCCTGGGTACATAGGAAGAATATTATTTCCTGGCTCCATTATAGTTATGAGTAGCCAAATTATTGAGTTCTAGCCAACGGAATGTGAACAAAAGTGATGACAGCTACTTTCAGGCCTGACCCATAAAAGCCTTTTTAGGCAATCCACACTGTGCTTCTACCTTTTCATGTGACCTCAGAAGACAGGTGTTGAAAGTGGTAGAGCACATAATGGAAGAAGCCTCGGTCCCTAAATCACTGTTGGAAGAGAACTACCTACCAATATCTTAGAATTTTAGAATTTAGTGAGTAATAAATATTTTTCTATTATTGTTGAACTATTGAGACTTTGAGGTTACATCTACTATAGAAGCTGATTTTAAATTAATACGGAATGATTACTTTTGCTGTAAGAGTAAAGGGAGGCCTTTCAAAAGAAGTGGTATTTCGCTAAAGTGGTATTACTTTAAAGGATCAGTACAAATTCTTTCAGAATGGGAGAAAAGGGTATTTCAAGTTAAAGGAATATTATGTGCAAAGACAGAAGGAATTAAAGTACCTCTTGGGGAAACCAGATAATACGTGATGTTGTTACAGCACAATATATTGAGAAGGAGTGATAAATAAATCTATAAAAATAGGTTATGACCAAATTATAAAAATGGTCATAAGGCTTACTAAGCAAATTAGACTTGGGTACCATGGAAGGTGCAGTAATATAAACACATAATTTTTATTGAGAAATTACATTGTTAAAGTCACTGGAAATGATTAAGCTCTACATTTAAATTCTCTTAAATCACATGTGAAAAAGCAGGTATGCAGGAGAAAATTGTTTCCTACCATACACAAAATAAAAATGAAGAAATTTTCTAAAAAAATAACTATTTAAAACTACTTATGACCCTATTCAGAAAAATCCAATTATCGCACTGAATAGATGATTCTCAATTTCAAAAATTTCTTAGAACAAGATGTTATCCCTTTTAAAACATCTATTTCACTAATTATCAGAATTATGTCATCTTTGTCAGAGCTCACAGATATAAACAGTATAAACTTTGTCCTAATTCAATGTCTTTACACTGTGAATCTGCTCCAACTGAACGTTAACTTGATGTGCTAGAGACTCCCACTCTGTAATTACTGCCTGTTTTTTTAAGTAATTATTTCCACCTGATGGTCTTTTGGAATTGGTACTGCAACATCCGACTGGAATTTCAGCACTTCTGGTCCACCAAATTCAAAAACTCTAATAGCTCTCATCAACTTCTGTTTAGTTGCCATGGTGATCTAGATAATAAGAAAAAAAATTAATGTACTGACCTATTGTATCTAGGCTATCACATGTTTTTTTACCCTGGAGGGTCAGATTAAACAAATTTTCAAACAACAATTTAAATCCCAAGCTTACCACTGATCTCATTTCATGTTTAAAAACCTTTCATCTTATAAATCCTTCAGCTACAAAGTAAAAACACTTCATATTACTTCCTGTAGAGATTCAGTGCCTTCAACAGGGAATCAAACATGCAAACAAAAACAGCTGAATAGACATAGCATAATACAATATCTTAGGTGTCCTTTTGTGTAGGCTTGGGCTGTAACATCTTGGAAATTTTAGGAGCTAATATAAGTTTTATTAACATTAGACAAATATACCTTTTTTGTTAGATTATGAAATATTTCAAATATTATCAAAAAATATAAAGACTATAATAAACACATTTACCTGCCACCCAGCTTTAACAAATCTTAACATTTTAAAAACCTCAAACATTATGGACATAACTTAAGCCTCCTGTATCCATTCCCAAACCCACTTCTGTCCCGCCATTTTAAGAGGTGACTATTACCATAAACTCAGTGCTCATCATTCCCAGGCATGATATTATACTATTATTACATGTGTATGTATTAGCAAACAATATATGCTATTGTTTTGCATGTTTTCAAATTATATTTAGATTGGATCATACTGTACTTAATTCTGCAACTTGCTTTTTCCTCTCAGCATTAAATTTTTGAGATTTATCAATGTTAAAACACTGGGCTTTATGAAGCTCATTCATTCTAACAAAGGAGGAAAAACATTAAAGACTAAAAACACTGCTTTGTATGCAATCTTTTGTAAATTACAAAGGTCATTTACAGTTAATCTTTCTGTCCCACCATTCTTAATATTAAAATGAAAACTCAGTTAAAATGAACTCTAAGAAAATGTAAACACTTGTTACACAAAATTAGATAACTTTGGAAATCTTCTATATCTATAGAGATGTAATGAAAGGGTTTTGACTATCTCCACAATTTTGTGAATTATCATAATTTCTTGAAATAAACCACATCAAATATTTTTAGACTCTGCCACCACCTAGAACAATTTTCCTAACTTCTGAAATAATCATATTCATCAACCACAAGCAGTTGAAACATCAAAAAGAGTTGCAGAAACTAGGACTCGAGATGATTCTGACTTTTAATGTATCGAAGCTCTACACAGGGCTACTCAAAACAGAGCTCAACTATAAAATGTCATTCTATGTATGGGGAAGGGGAATCAAAACCATTTTGATGGTGTTATTATTGGAAAGTTCTTGAAATAATTAGTTAAAAGTTGTGTCATTTTAAAACCCTTTATTTAAAATGATTTAATATAGTACCAAGAGAAGAAAGTAAAATTTCCATTGCTAAAAGGTTGTTCAGCACTGATATAACCTGGAAGGCAGCCCTCAAATAAGGAGCAGAAGCCGGCAAAAGGCATACACCTAACAGCACTGTAGGGCGGCTAAGCAGTCCCTGAGGGTGAAAAGACCTGTGCAGAGAGGACTGGAAAAGGCAGCTCACTCCACACCTATGCAGCAGTCTCATGACTGCATTTCCATTTGGGTCTTCACTCAACCTGGGTATTTCTTAGACAAGAAAGTGAAAATACAAAGAAAACAAAACAGGAAAAGAAAAGGTTGCCTAGATCAGTTTTCCATTCTGGAAATAAGACCCCCCTCACCACCCCCCTTTTTTTTTGTCTTCAGCATGATGTTAAGAAAAGAGTGGGCTTTGGAATCTGACAGCACTCAGTATGAATCCAAGCTCTATCATTTATTAGCCACGTGGCCTTGGGCACAGTCAACTTTTTTGAGCCTCTTCGTCTGAAAACTGGGCTCATACTCAGAGTTACTGTGCTAGACATGGCAAGGTTAAAGTACAGAACCTGGCTAATGTCTACTCCTATGTATGGTAGATACCATTATTCCTTTCCCATCTATTTTCTCCCTTCTGATTTCTTATTCATTAAAATAGTCTCAATTCTATAATTCTACAATCTTTGATTTAATAGAACAATATTTACAGGACTCCAGTTGTAATAATAAGTCCTTAGCCTCAAAGAGTTCATAGTCTAGAGCATCGTTTAAACAAAAATTAATAACAAACATTGGTTATTTATTCAACATGTATTTTTTGAACACTAATTATAAGCAAGGCACCGTGCTAAACTCAGAAAACACAAAGATAAAGAGAAAACACCCCAGTCCTTTCTCAGCTCCTGCTCTCTGCTCTCACACATGTAAGATTTGCAGCCCTTTAGCCACTTTCAATACCTACCCACTTCCTACCTATTCATTTCTTTCAAGCACTCACATCTATCTTTTCACCAACATCACTATTATCCTCAAAAAAAAAAAAAAAAACTGTAGCAATAATAAAAGCAAAATTACCCTGAAATAGGATCTGTCAAAAATATCTAGCACATACATATCTCCCCCTACGTTTTGACATTTGCTAAGTTGGGAGAAAAGAACAAAGGAAGGAGACTCCTTCTTAATACTGGATTTAAAAAGACTCCCTGTCTTGTTCAGAACTACCACCTTATCCTATAGCACTTGTAAGGAGACAGGCATGACCTTGACAGGCTCTGTCTTCTGCTTTGTTTCTGGAGATCTTATTTCCCACTGAGCCGTTGCCACTATGATTGATCAGGCTCCAAATCTGTACTCCTTTCCTTTGAACTTCCTCAACCACCCTCAAGATCATGTTCTGCTTTATAATACAGGTGCTGTATATACACACACACACACACACACACACACACACACACGTGTATATATACATATGGTAAAATAAAAAGAATTACATATATATTTTTAATAATTTTTAATTTTTCAATTATAGTTGGCATGCAATATTATATTAGTGTCAAGTGTACAACAATGATTAGACATTTATATAACTTACGAAGTGATCACCCTGATAAATCTGACACCATACAGTTATTACATTATTGACTATGTTCCTTATGCTATACTTTACATCCCCATGACTATTTCGTAACTACCAGTTTTTACTTCT